ATCGTAAGTTTATTCCAAACTTTTCTAATATATCGCGGCCTTTGACGGACTTAACAAAAAAGTCAAGTTCTTGGAAATGGGAAGAGAATCAACGATTAGCGTTCGAAGAATTAAAAGAAAAGTTAACTTCCGCTCCTATCCTGAGACAAGCTGATGAATCGTTACCGTTTACAATGAGGACCGATGCAAGTGATTATGCATTGGGCGCAGTGCTACTCCAAGGTGAAGGAAATGATGAGCGCCCGATCGAATTCGCTAGTAGATTATTGACATCATCCGAAAGGAATTATTCAACAACAGAAAGAGAAGCTCTTGCTGTTATCTGGGCTTGTGAGAAATTCCGTGGTTACATCGAATGTGCCGAAGTAAAAATTGGAAGCGATCATCAACCATTAAAATGGTTAATGACATTAAAGTCACCTTCAGGACGTTTAGCACGATGGGCACTGAAACTTCAGTCCTACAATCTAAATATTGATTATGTACCAGGAAAAGCGAATGTGGTTGCAGACACTTAGTCTAGACCTCCTAGTCAGTCTAATAATCCTGATCATCAAATTCGCACAATATCTGTTGAAATTCCTAGAAAGAATCCATCTCAAATAAGAGAAGAGCAACTATCTGATCCAGAACTAAAGAAAATAATAGAAAGTTTTGAGGGCAGAACTCCTGCGGAGGAAACAAAACGTTGGACAGAGAGAGGTTATCTAATGGAAAGAGGAATTCTTTACCGCTATTCTCCAGACTCCGATTCAGAGGAAGCACAGATGGTGGTTCCCACCCGAAACAGAGAAGAGGTGCTACAAGAATACCATGATTCACCAACTGCGTGCCATGATGGCATTGAACGTACGTTACAACGTATACGACAGAAGTTTTATTGGATGGGTATGAGAAAGTTTGTTGCTGATTACGTAAGAAACTGCAATCTTTGTCAGCGATATAAACCCAGTAATCTTAAGCCTGCGAGCTTACTTTTGACTCCACCGCCTCAACAACGTTTTGAGACTCTGGCCGTCGACTTCTTTGGACCTCTTCCCCAAACGGAACACAACAATAAGTGGATTTTGATAGTTGAAGACGTGGCTTCCAAATGGATCGAGCTCTTCGCTCTTGAACAAGCTAAAGCTGACATAACGGCGCGTGTGCTTATCGAAGAAGTGTTCTTACGGTACGGTATACCAAGAAAAATTATTAGCGATAACGGAGTGCAATTCGTAAGTGAAATAATGCAATACGTCTGTCGATGCTTCAACATTGATCAAAGTTTAGTAGCGAATTATCATCCAGAATCAAACCCGGTGGAACGGAAGAATCGTAATTTAAAGCCTCGGTTGGCTATATTAATAGGAACTGATCATACAAAATGGGATGAGAAGCTAGCTACTATCCGGTTTTCTATGAACAGTGCGGTTTGTTCTAGTACCAGTTATTCGCCCGCATATTTAACTTTCGGACGTGAGTTGAGAACCCCGTACGAAATTGAACATGATTTCCGTTAGCTTAATCGAATAAAATAATTCGAAGTGGTCTGTGCCTATCACGTTGAGGTTGGCTACGCCGGGATTCGTTTTCAGCAAGTAGATATCCACACAAGTGGACCTTGTTGGAGCATACGTAATCCTAAAATGTAGCATCATGCTACAGATGGCGTTTACTGCGCCATTTGTAGTATTTTCTAAAATTACATGTTTGTATGCTATGCCGTCAACAACAAATGCTTGTGAGCTCGTGACGCTGGTTAATACAAGATGGTTGCCATCTGCGCGTTGTGATTGCGCCAACCTTCCTACCATTGAAAAGATTCATTCCTGCATTTATTTACAATGTCAATTGTATGTCTATGTTGTGGTTGGACTAGGCGAGACCAGCAAATGCATTCTCACTCTCGTCAGGTCTCAGGTCGCCTGTACAAACGTATCCAGCCGGTTTTCTTTTATAATAAAGATGAGGCGTCACACAAGATACCTCGAATACAAACAACAGTACTAGTACAAAAAACCCATTTGTAGTAACTGTGAATCCGTGATGTAATAAAAGGGATTCAGTGTTATTCGCAATTATGATACTGACAACCAGATAAAAAGAAAGCTTTTGGTTGAGTCTTCATCCTACTCCCGCACCCGTCAGTATGTCGCATGTTACTGAAGTCAACCCAAAAAGATTATTTTACAGCTCTTTATTTTTTTATTATTTCGTTTATAATTTACTTATTTTGATAAACTAAAAATTAATGTATTCAGTGCAGTTATTATAAAATTCAATAGTAACACTATTAAAATGTGGAAAAATAAACTTTATGGAGCGTCTATATTAGCATATACCTGTACCTTTGCACTTACTTATAATGAGATTAGAAGATCATAACTTCTAAGTAAGTTTTTTATTCAAAAACTAAAACTTAAACAAGATGTAATAACTACACAAATTCTGGATAACTAAAATCAAGTTGGAAATTTATGAGCGACTCCAGTTTGTAAAGTAAAGGAATGCTTATTACTTTGAAAACGTTGGTAACGCTGTATGTCTAGACAAATTAGTTTGTCTAAAGGTAAATACTTCAGACATTACATTTCTTAACAAAACTCCGACGTAGAGTAGTAAAATTTTATTTACAAAGAATATTAAAGTTTGAAACCAAAGGAAAAACCAAATAACCGATGCCAGAACGAAATATTAAAATCAGCCATTATTTCTTTCAAGTAATATTTTTTTTATATTTTTTGTGTCTATATATTAATAATGGAATACCAGTGAGGTTGCCTTCAATTGAATTCCTATCTGTTTTGAAAATTCCTCATTTATAAAGAAAAAAGCTCTTGCAATTAATTTTGAAAACCGCAGGTCATTAATTCTGAAATAACTCGCCCAGATAGGTTTTCGTAAATAAAAGATGCATGGCATTGGCGATTATGACTTCTTTTATTTTCGAAGACCGTGAAGATCGCAAACCAGGCTCATTGCTGGTTTTCTCACAAGAATGATATTATTCTAGTGCCTTTTGGATGTGTTTTGAAATGCTCGACCAATGTATCCTTAACACCCTGATGCCAGCACATTTTATTCATCTACAGTATCTACAACAAATGATGCAATAGTTCAGTTCTGCTGCAACACTAAATAAGTGTATTTAATGCTCTAGTAAAACTATTTCCGTGTAGTGAGCAATTCGACAATCAAATAATGTAATCAACCATGTAATAAGCAATCTTGTGCATTAAATATTTTTGTAAAATAGTATACAATATAATAAATATCAACTTTCTCCACTAAGCTCCTTATTTGTTACCTACGCCTTCTCTTACACAGGTACTGAACCCTTAAATAAGAATGTCAAAAACTCTTGGTCAGAAACAGTCAAACTACCACACGTGGATCACGATTTGATCTCATGCTGGTAATGTATCGCCATCTAGTGGGTATTTGTTGCTAATGAAGTATTTCAAGCGTTAAACTAGGCCTTATTTCAACTTATTTAACAGAATTACTGAATCAACAACACAACTTACATACGCAATAGGAACGTGAACTGTATTAATAAGAACGTTCTTGATCAGAATTTTGTTCGATTACAACTACTACCCTTATCGAGCGGTTCCTACGATTTATCAATGACAAACTTTTAAGTTGCATTATACCCTTCAAAGAAAATATGTAAGATAAATAAAACGGTGGATGCAATTTAGGCATAAGAAATAATTTGCAACGGTTCTAAAAAGTTTTGCTTAACAGGTGTCCGTTTGCGACTTCATTAAGTCACTTGGGTAATTTAAATTGAAAATTTGACAAAATGAATAATATGTAAAATAATAATTGCATTCCCAAGCAAAAACAATGCTATTAAATTAAGACATTAAATACGTATTACCATACGCCATTTTGGACCCTGACCATAGTAGGTTAGTCCTGGCTGACACACCATATATCAAAAAATCAATGCATATTAAAATAGAGACAGATAGTTACATTTTGCATTATTATTTCAATAGGAAACAGCCAACATCCGTATTTAAATCAATGAACTGACAAACACTTGCCGTTGTCATTTGTATTGGTTGGACCCGAAATAGCGGATGATGATAAAATCTGCTTAGTGCTGTAGCTATATATGACTCTAAAAATAAATATAATCATGACAATACTTCCTACGTAAAATAAAACCATTTTTTTTTTTAGAACATTTATGTAGTTTTAGAAAATACTACAAATGGCGCAGTAAACGCCATCTGTAGCACGATGCTACATTTTAGGATTACGTATGCTCCAACAAGGTCCACTTGTGTGGATATCTACTTGCTGAAAACGAATCCCGGCGTAGCCAACCTCAACGTGATATGCACGTTAGCTTAGTCGAATAAAATAATTCGAAGTGGTCTGTATTCTGTCGAAACTGCTAGACGCGGATCGCGATGTCGATCTTTTTGGATCTCATCAGCGCGTGGCAGGCAGCTCCGACAGAACCCAGACCAACCTGATCCAAAAAGATCGAGATCGCGATCCGCGTCTGGCAGTTTCGACAGAATACAGACCACTTCGAATTATTTTATTCGATTAAGCTAACGTGCATATCACGTTGAGGTTGGCTACGCCGGGATTCGTTTTCAGCAAGTAGATATCCACACTAGTGGACCTTGTTGGAGCATACGTAATCCTAAAATGTAACATCGTGCTACAGATGGCGTTTACTGCGCCATTTGTAGTATTTTCTAAAACGCACTGTTAAGACAGCAGGTAAAAGTTGGTCTGTGTTCTGTCGCAGCTACCTGCGACGCGCTGATGAGACCCAAAAAGATCAAAACTGCGATCCGCGTCTGGCAGTTTCGACAGAATACAGACCACTTCGAATTATTTTATTTATGTAGTTCCCTAAACTTCTGATTTGATTCGTATAGTTAATGATGTTCCACCCAGCACAATAAGTAAATTTATTTAATTACAGAATAAAGATACATTATAATTTCAAAATAAGACCTTTACTTACTATTAATTTTATTTTAAAGAGAGCGTTTCGTCAATATGAAACGGCTATGGGTTCAGCTGCTGCAATGGGTGACAGGATTATTCAGATGGAATCCATGGATGGAGCTGCAAGATGTTTGGAGGCTTTAAGACTGCAACACAAAATTTGTAACTGCCGACCTCTAGAATTCAACACTAGGTTATTGGAAGTAGCTAGTTCCGTTGGTTCCAAAGTAAGAATTAGATTACATATTTATTAAAAAGCACCCCACCACTTTTTTTTTAGAAGGTATCGTTTTTACGAAAATATTACTGCGTTTCAACATTATGAACATATATAATTTTAACTGTATGGGCAATTTTTGCAATAGAAATGTTATATTCAGTTTATTTGAGTTTTTGTGGTTTTCATTGGACAATAGGCTTTTTTCATGAGATCATACATAAGAATTACTAGGCAGTAATTCTTCTTCTTATTCGTAGCGCTGAGAACATTGACGATTATTCTTGTACATTTCACCTTGTCCCCTGCAAATCGAAACAGATTTCTGAATATCACTTTTTGAAGTGAAAACTTCTTTAGCATCGTTGTCATTTGAAAGTCGATGAAACGAAAAAGCGACAGTAAAAAGAGACAGACACATAAATTCATAAGATTTAACGTGGGAGAAAATGAGATAGGAAGCATTATACAGTGTTTCTTATGTTCGTGATTTTCTTTGTACTCTTCATCGTACCCCCTCCACTCGTGTTTACCAAGGCATAGTGAGAGTTTGCTTGGGCCTCATCGTTGGCCTCATCGTAAGAAAGGCATTAAAACAACCGTGGTATTTTGTATACGTGTACGTATTATATGTTTGTAGAGTTTTTTCATCATTTTTATAATAAAAATCTTCAAATATGCCGAAAATAAATGCAGAATATTGTTGCGATCTTGAAACCAAAATTTTTGAAGATTTGACTTCTTCCACTTGTGAATTGCACACGTTTTTTTTTATATTCTGTAATCGATAATAAGCAGCTTATATTCATGCATTTCCCTTCCTAGTAGAACCAGTCCCTACTCACTTGCTATTCACTACAAATCTCCTCATAATTCTTCCTACTCCTCTAATAAGAGCAAGTAAGCAATAACACCATCTTGAATTTTTAAAAAACAAGTCAAGATTAGTGCGAAAGTCAAATATAAATTTAAGTGTTATTACGAATTCATACTTTGCTTTTGGAAGGCGGCCTTATTAGCGCCCTGTCTAGTCGAGGCTAAGACAAGCAAAGGCGTCATTGATTAACTTAACGATTAACATTATGTAAAAAAACTTTAGAATGGATTTTTGTTTATTTAACTGTTGCATATTTTACAGTTATTTATTTGTACGATATAACACCAATTAGTCACATAAACTACTTCTTATTTATATTACACAGTGTTTCTAGTGCTTATGTACTCATCACTGTATTCATATCACTTACTATTCGCTCGTAATTCGCAATGATTATTACTGATCGGCTGTCCCTTTATTAATTAACTAATTAATTAACCCCGGCTGTCATCCAGAGGCCTACTTATATTGTTATCGAATTATTTGGAACAGTCTTCATTCTTCTCGAGAATTCCGAAACTCCTATTATCAAGCAGGTAAATATGCGTCACTCATGATATGGTTTATTATCATTCATGTCTTTAGTAAAAAAGTTGTTGACCATCGTTTAGTCCCTGCCTGAGGGCATACTCAATAGCCGTCTATATAATTAATGTATTGGTTATCACGTACATTCGTGAATGTAACAATTACACTGAATGCGGAGAATGGTGTAATTGAAGCGAATTTAAAGCCACATAATACCACGTTTTAGTTTACTCATAACCTGCAGTGACATAGTGATAAAAATCTTGTACCATCGCGAAATTAATTTGGTCGCTGTTTAAGTCAACAAACGTTTTCTCGGTCGTCGTATGAAAAATAAAACGAAAAAAAGATAATGCCTTAGTTAGATTTAGAAAATGAATAAATATAGTTACCTACCTATTAAATTTGAAATAATACACCCCTGTTTACTAATTTCAGTACCTATAGTACTGAAGAACAGTGGTGATCTACCTATTCCTTCAGGACTGTTCATTTGCAAAATCATGAGCTCAGTTCTTTCGAATTTTATTCACATTTCGTACATTATAAGTTTTCTACAACAGGATCAAATAATAACACATATTTAAAGTGTTTAATAATAATCGTAACAGTACCCACACAGTTCTGTCGCACTCCTCGCTTGCTCTGCATTACATTGGAATTTTCACTGTCAATTTGTACCATTGCCCATTGAAGTCAGTAATGATTACTTCTTTTAGTAAATGTCACTTTGCCATTCTATTAATAAACGTTTATTTTATTATGTACTAGTTACAAGCACCGAACTATATGGAATATTTTTTTACATAACTAAAAAACCTGCCTTTTTCTCCCAAATAGAGGCGAAACGTTGGTGTTGGTTCTTCATAAATGTGTTCAAAACCTTCTTACTCTTAATTGCCTTGAACATTATTTAATAGTAAACTGTTGATATTTACATTATTACTCGTTGCACAACCGACACTTTTACATCAATGTATGCTCACTATAGTAATAAATGTATTACCAATTCGCACCCTCGACCGGTTTCGGATTGTAACTTCTTGCTCTCTTACAATTTTCTTTGTCCCTTAATATCGCTGCTTGGACTGGAGTTACTACATAACTCTTTGATAATGACCTAATAACCGAAACATCTAGAACTTTTGAAAATCTGAATAAATACAGTGAACTAGTACTGACCAAATGTTTTTTAGCTTTAGTCTTGACAATCTATCTAACAATAACGACCTTTTTTTTAATTACAGAAGTGTTATTTCCTTAATTGAAACATCTTTCCCCCATTTCTATATAAGCATACAAATAAAAGAAAAGAGACCATTTTAAAATAAATAGATCGTTTTCAGCTTTTAGTTAGAACTATCCGCATTCGTCTGTCGAAAATATACAAAGCTTTAGGAGATGATGAACATAAACTCCATCATGAGAGAATAGCACAACGATTAGATAAAGAATTAGATCTCACATGCGGAGGATGTGGATCACCGTATGGTTATGAAAGCGATTCATTAGAAGCGTTGCCTTGTACACACATTTTGCACGCCAGGTGAGTAACATAGGATAAGATAGAACATAGGGCGGTGCTTCATGATGTAAATAGGAAAACATAATTTTGGTTAGCATTCTATCGAAACCACTAAACAATCACGATTTCCAACTTGCTTGTTTTCATCGGCACACATCCTCAGAAACTGCTGGGTACATGGGAAATTAGGAAATAATGAGAGACAGGCAGTTAATGCCATCTGTGGAGATTTAGTAGTAATTCATAAAAATGTTCAGAACGTTACACTGAACACTAGACGTAGCTAACTGTGGTTAAACTTTAAGGCAAATATTCTCTTGTGGCAAATACCCACATTAGATCAAGAATGACCGTGAGGACCTGCATGTGGTGACATATTTATTAACATTGCTTTCAACCAGCAGCTTTGTATTGACTAGTATTTTAGCCTCTGCCGTAAAGATGAGAACAATAACAATAATAATCGCGGGTATCAATCACTACTAGCTACATTTTAGGTCAACGCTCATGAACCTACGATTAGTAACAAATCTCCACAGATGGCATTATTGATTGTGATTATTTACTGCAATCACTAAACTATTTTTTGACCATTTACAACCAAATCTTATTAAAAAGCAATAAAAGTTTCTAAATAAAGAAAGAAAACCAAGTCTTCGATATATTTGAACATTTTAAATACCGTTGGGCACGCTTTTTAATTTTAAGTTTTAATGGTGTTATTGAAAGGGCATAACTAATTAAGATTTTGAATATACACCTAACCTATAAATCAAATACCTAGTTTAATGAGATGAAGCTTTGACACTAGCCTATATGTTCGTACTAGGTGTTTGATTTAAATATATTTTGATATACATATGTGTTTATATTCTATGATTTAGATTTAATGACTATTGGAGCCGCAAAAAAGACAAAAATTAAGTTAGGTTATTTTCTTTTTCGAATTTTCAATTTTATATCTCCAACGTTCATTCTTCTGCCGTCACTTAAAGATATTTATTTAGTACTCTATAAGTTCAATTAGAATTATAACTTCAGTAGTATAGCTATAAGGATACTGTGACAGTTCGATGGATTGTCCATCCTCAGTACCTTACCATGCCCTCTAATGGCACCTTGGAGGTCATTCTTGGTGCGTAAGTAAATCTATACAGGTTCAGTCTTGTTTTGAGTCGTTTCCTCTTATGTACACAAAAATTCAAACGACCAAAGTTCAATTACGTCACAAAGTATTAAAAAGGCCAAAGTTCAACAATGTTGAGTAAATATTATTATGGCGCGCTGCTACACCTCTAATTTAAGTGACAAAAAATCAACCGCATTCTAAAAAGGGGTGGAAGTGGTGGCCGAAGAATGACCTTGAAAGACATCGAGAAGAAGGGGGTGTGTGTCGTCTACTTCTTCAGCATTGACCTTCAAACGCGCGCGAAACTCAAAATCGAATAGGCTCCGCGCACTATGAGGGCAATCCAGAGGCTCTTAAGAACTTCTTCAGCTGATGAATGACCTCCAAGGTGTCTTAGAGGTCAAATAGAACACATTTTTACAACATTGGCGACGACGTTTTCGTCTTACGCACGAAGAATAACCTCCAAGGTGCCATTAGAGGACATGGTAAGGGATTGAGGATGGACAGGCCATCGAACTGTCACAGTATCCCTATAGCTATACTACTTCAGCTGCTGTCATCCCAAATTTTGAAAATTTGTACTTTAATTGACTCTATCCTTTCTTGTTTTAGATGTGCATACGAACTATTTAGGCGAAACAGGAAGAGTAGAAAAAAACCATGTCCAGAGTGTGACAAAACAAGTTCAAGACTGTATTTAAATTTTAACGATAATTTAAATAATTACAGTCCGGTGCAATTATCGGTTTGTTCCTCGGACAGTCACTGTACCTCACATCATGCAACTAGTTCAGTGTAATACACATCTTACTGTAGAGTAAACATAAGAAGATCAAAAAATAATACAATGCCTATGATGCAATAATTTCTTGATTTAAGTATAAATTGTAGGGAGTTGATCCAAACAGTCATCGAAAAAAACAATCGAAATCTCATTGAACTTTTGCCATTTTTTTTTACCTTCCTCAACAACTGATTTCAATTCTTTCTTTAGATGTAACTTTTGTTACAAAACGTGGAGTATGGTGAGTTAGTCTTTTGACAAAATGTTTAAACGAAAGAAAATCCAATAATGTGGCGAAAAGTTTCAATTGGTTTCTTCGATTACTGTTTGATTCAACTCTCCCTAGAGTTACGATTTATACCCAAATTCAGAAATTAAAAAACATGCTCAAATTTTATTTTATGGAAATAGGACATAGGTACCCATAAGAATATAGAAGATCTGAAGATGGGTGGGGTACGTATCTAGTGCTTAGATTATTTGGCTGTACCTGAATCAGCTGAAAGATTACAAACCACTGAGTACACGCATGCCCAGTAATTTAATTATTATTTTTATTATTTCTGAAAGATCAGTAAGGGCAAACCAACTGCTCAAGTTTTGCATCAACTATACCTACTTTATTATGTCAGAGTTTCTTGATGTTTAACATACATATCTCTAATTTTAATGCAAATTGACTGCAATAAGTCACATTCCCTTTGACAAGTCTATTGAAAATAAAAGTAAGTTTAAAGAGAAACGTAAGTAAGTTTCCTTCTGGCTCAAATTAAGTAAAGTTATTTGAAGTGTCTCTCTTTATAATGGATGCCTGCAAACTACTTTTTCTTAAAAATCAACCACAACATAGCCACATATGTATTTATCGCAACTGTCTACAACATTTGTATAACCGGTAGGTAGGTATAGCTATTTTCAAGGATCACTTTGCAGTAAATAAAAAAGGAACCTTTTGGCTGTTATCCAACTAAAATATCTAGGTCAGTGTGTTCATAAAAATGCGCTGAGTGGCAGATATTTAATTCAATGAACAGGCACAGTTAGCTAAAGACTCATTTTTGCAGTTAATTAGGCTCTCTTATTAGTTTGCTTTAATTAAGAAGAAACACAGTTAACGAAATTAGTAAACACATTTGTTAGAAAAGGTACGCTCTTAAAAACAGAAATAGATCACTTTAATTAAAAGAAATTTTTGAAAGTAACAGATTCAGGGATCAAGACACAAGCCCATATTACTTCAAAAATTTTTCCCAGTACTAGAGGTAATTAATTATTATAATGAATAAAAAACTTTATAATTTCTACATCGTTAATCTCAAAAAATAATATATGAAAAGTTGTTAAATAAAAATATTAAAATGATCGTGTATTTGATGTATTCAATGTTAATATAATTTATACACAAATTTTCACAAAATAAATGGAGTTCTGCTTCATTTATTCTGCTTTTCTATTTTTAGAAGGATATATCCATTTTTTTACTCACTGCTTTTAAACACCAACTAAATATTGCCGCATTCTTTTGAAAATATACACCATGGCGAAATGCTACTTCATTAAAGTGTTTATTCGTGCGTTTGTGTACGGTTTCGCAAGACTCCCAGCAGCCAATCGGCTTGAATTAAATACCAAGATAATATATTCGCATGGAGTATACGCCATATCAAGCGCCGAAATGTAGGCATTTCGCGTAATGAGTGGTCTATCTTGGGTACGATCAACGCTTATGAAGGATCACCTTAACTAAGCATAACCTTATCTTCATGAGGTGATAATAAGATGAAGAAAAGCGAAATTATTATTATTATTAAAAACTGAATAATGGGTATATTATGGAATGTTTAGGTTGCTCTGATTTGAAACTTAACTATAGAATGTTACCTAAAGGCGCTGATCGAACTTAGGATGGACCACTCAATCCGCAAAGCGCCTACATTTCGGTCTCCTAATCATAACTACGATAATTTTCACAATTTCGACTATTATTAATTAATTAGCATCTTAAAATAAATATTTTAAATACCTATATTAAAAAAGTTACAAAAAAAACCTACATTCTTAAAACTCTTCAATAAATTTATTGTTTAAATTTTCAAGATGAAAAAATCGTACAAAATCGAGGAAAAACACGAAAAATGCAGCAAGTGTTTATCATATAAGTTTTTTGGCCAGTTCTGTTACAAAATATAACGGTTGTAATCCTTCCTCTGGAAAATAGATTTAAAATTTTAAACGTGTACGAAATCATTCAGTTGAAGGATGCTGGATAACAGCAAACAATTTAGTAGAATTGTTGAAAAGTTATTTCAAGAAATAGGAATTGCTGATGCAAAAAAAAATACTTAATGAAATTGTCATACTGGATGCCGACGATATTTTTAAGAGCGTTAATGCTCATCATCATCATAAGGTCGTCATTCCTAAGACTGATTGGACACGTACCTCCTCTCTTTCCTATCCTGAGCTAATCTTCGCCTTTCCCTAAAACTAGAACAACCCATCCTTAACTGTCTGCGAACAGTAATCTACTCTAGGTCTACCTCTACTCCCCCTAACTTCCGTTTCTCCCTCTGATATGTCTCTGACTAGACCTTCATGCCTGAGGTGTCCTACTAACCTATCTTGCCCATTTCTTGTTGACTTCCATAGAGTCCTCTGTTCTCCTACTCTTTCCACAGATCCTGTATATATTATTCTAAAGTCTCCACTCCAGGAGTCTCCAGCTTCGGGTCAACGGACTTCACTAATACCTACTATATCTAATTCTAATCTATTCATTTCTACTTTTAAATTTTCTAATAACCCTACTTGCTTCATTGTCCTAACATTCCACACCCCGACTCGTGAAATATTGCCCTTACTCCTATTGCATTTTTCGATGACATCCCCCGAGATAGTCTCCGCCCGGACATCCAAATGGGGGACTAGTTTACGTCCGGAGTGCTTTACCCCAGAGGAGGCCATAATTTTGTTTCGATAAGTTTTACTTGGAATATCAAAATGTGGTGGTTTCCCGTTGCCTTCCACATCGCAGTATTGTGCATCAGAGTGCAATACCGATCCTTGTGATATCTGCCACCATGACTACTGAAGGAGCTGCTGCCAACAACAGCAGCACAAAATTTTTCCTCATTAACTTGAGGTAATTTGTAGTGGATAAAAATTTGAAAATGAATTTTCACATTAATATTTAGTATTTAATTACTTTAATTCAACTTTGTCTGTTGTTAGAGAATCTCAAAGTTGTCCTAGAAAAAGTTTTAAATAAATTAGTAGGATATCACAGAGAAACGATTAGTCAACTGTGAATAAATGTTAGCTTTATTAAAATAAAAATGCTGAGATAGGCGATATATGCATTTATTAACCGTAAAACTGAATCAAAATCAATCAATTATATTTAAATAAACGTATTTCTTACTAAAATCAAACACTGAGATAAACAAAATACACATTCGGTATATAGTAGCAGCAATATGTAACGGTAATTTCAATCCTAAAAATATCCAATGAAGATTTTTCGAAAGTCAAATAAATGAAGGATATCTTTAACGCGGAAGATTATCACACTCTGCAGAACAGAATTCGGAAGCGAATTGTTTTATCATGTCACAAATAAATGTATTTTATATGTTTATTTGGAGACATAATTACTTTAATACGATCTTGCAAGTGAATTAAACAATTTAGAGTGAGTAGTCACCTATTTAACTATGGTTAATTAATAACTTAATAATATTATAATAATCTTGGCCTACTTTATAAGATAACTGGGGAACGTAGAAATGGCAGGGAACTATCACAGGGTGATTGAAGGCGGTAAGTTGTCTCACCACCCAGCATCTTCTTTAATTCAACTCGCGACTCTGTACTTCTAGTCTAGTCTATACGAAATTGCGATACAAAGATGCTTACGAATATTATACTTATATTTTCAATAGTAAAGAAAACAAAAAAAAAAACGATTTGATTGTGGTGAACGTAAACATGAGAAATCTCTTATCCTGTCAATTACATCCTCCTCTTCCTTTCTAAGAAAAATCTGAGTCGGTTTGAGGTTGTTTTTATTAATTGTAGTCTTTCCATACCTTCAGTATCTGCTAGAAGAAAAAGTCTATGACATAATGGTCGGACATTGGCACATGTTGAACACGTATAGTCTAGTGATCGATCGTTTGATGACGAATTTCATTGTCGAGAGATGTCCCTCCTTCTTATTTTGTAACAGAGCCTACGTTGACCTAAGGCTGTTCTTATTCATCGCATCACGTCCTTGCAATCCACCTGCTGACACATGTTGATTTCGTGCGATTTAGTAACCGGTCAATGACACCCTCCTACTCCTCATTTTGTAACAGAATCGGCCAAAACACACTACTAATATACATCGTATAGTTTCTGAGATTTAAATTTAATTTTTTGAAGTTAATACTTACCTACCTACGTAAAATGAATGCTATTTGTTTATATTATCTATGACACTTTTGAAGTTATCAAGTTGGTTTTCTGCTTATTATTACTTTTAACAAAAAAATAATTAAAATTAGTCCTTTCTTAATTTTCGATTTGAAATTGGACAGTTTGTTACAAATACTNTAAATTGATTAATTATAAAAATGAATATTTAGAAAAGATACATAATGTTTATGTCATACCTATCCATTACGCCCTCTTGTGTTTCTGACGGGTTCATGTCGATGAGCGCCTTCTTTCTAGCCGCACGTTCTTGTTTCTCTTTTTCTGCCTTTTCTCTCGCCAATTTAGCTTTTCTGTTCTTCTCTAATATTTCCCGTTCACGCTCATTATCCTTTTTCGCTTCCTATAAGCAAATAATGCTCAATTACTGGGAAAGTATGAATTAGAGATTTTATTAACGATATTTAATTTATATTCGTAAAAGAAGAATTCAATTAAATATCAAATAATATCGTTTTGCCATATACTTATTTAATTAAAATACTTAATTAATCAATTTTGTATGATACAATAAGGAAGCACCTCTTTCATTGTAATTACCAACTTTACTTTTTCCTATTTTTATTATGTAACTATTAAGTAATTTCTTTTATTTTTGAGTTGTCGCAAAATCCACTTTCTTCTTTCAAAGTATACACTTTTATTAACATTTTTTTCATTTAGAATTTGGATTAAAAAAGTACTGAATGAATTTAAAAACGAAATTAAGTAAGAATAAGCAAACAAGTTAATCGATTAAATGTAAAAACCCCAAATGAATCTAAAGGTGCCCATTGCTTTTTACATATAAATTCAGTGACATTTAAAAAAATCCTTAACGAATTTTATTTTTAAAAGATGCGTACGTAGATATGTAAAAATTTTAACTGTTAATAAAAATGTGCAGGGTGTTTTACAGAATATTTCTAAAATAATTTATCCATGAATCTAAATGTATCTGAAAAATAGGTATTACCTGGAGGTTATTTGACAATTTTACAAAAAAAAAGAATAAACGATAGGTTACATTAATTTCCTAACAAGTCACATAAATCTTGTAGAATCTTACCCCTCATTTTGGTCTTGTTTCATTTGGTCTTTGTATTATTCGTGAATCTCCCGAATCCCGATGGCCCCAATATGCATGGATATATATGTATAATGTTCTGCAAATATGACACCTAATTTTGTTTAATTCCTTTTTTGCCTATTCTGTTTTATCCTTTTCATTCGTTTACTATTATCTCATAGGTTAGGTTAGGTTGCCTTTCCTATTTTACCCTTCTTATTTATTATTTGCTTATTATGGTCTTTTAGGTTTTAATTCTTCTTATCACATATTCCTCACAGAAAACCAGTCGTGAATCCAAGATTTTGTTTCGAGGGAATGGCAATTTTTCGTTCTAAATAGTTTTATAAAATTTGTTTATTATCCATGTAATTTAGTATCATAACTAATAAAAAACCAGATGCATGAAAAGTTATAATTTTGGATAATACCTAGTAATGACTCGAAGTCTGTAATCCGTTTAATTTCGAAAGAAACATTTAGCTAACTAAAATGCTTAAATCTTGTTTTATTACTCCTGGTTCTTTTGAATTTTTCAACCAGACATAAAACATGAAAACCTTTCCACTATTGTTTTTACCATATGTAAACGCCGAGTAAGGATATTTAATATTATTACGAATTATTAAAAGTATGAATTGTCCTAAAATTATAGGTATTTATTTTGTGAGAACTAACGATGTTATCCAGAAAGTAGACAAAGGACTCTTCAATCACATTATCTGTATCATATTCACCAACAACCTCCTTGTGAAAACATATCTTCCTAGGATTGCGTTTTACCTTTACATGTAATAAAACAAGTTTACACTACCACTAGAGAACAAACAATTAAAAACAAATATACGAAAACAAAAAATAATTTATTTAAAAAACTTTTATGTTACTATGGTTAATTAATAACTTAATAATATTATAATANAGAAGGCCAATAAAATTGGATGTGCTTTACAAATAAATTTGGTGTGGTTGTAGTTTAAAAAAAAGATATAGCTTTTGTAGGCATACACGTATAAAGAATGGTGCTTTATAAATACTTTGAAAATTGGTGGATATAACGGAAGATAAGAAAAAAATTAAATATTACGCAGTGCAAAAAGCCATTTTGTAAAACTTCTGTATCACGGCTTTTTGGAAAACAACTATTCTTTCTTGGAAATGACTTGAAATGGTCCAAATATTTAAAACATATATGAGGGAGGGGGAGAACTTTTACAAGCCATAACCTAATCTACCCTGTTTAATTAAGGTTATGTAAGTTTTTGTTGTCAGGTTAGATGGAGGTAGAACTTCTTCCTTCTGATGGGGGTTTCCCTATCTCATATTATAGGTGAAACTCCAAATGCAGTATTTGTTGCAGTACTTTTTCGACAAGTTCTGACCATTTATATACAAATAAAAATTGTGTAAAATATCTTGCCCTTGACTTTTTCATGTAAGTTTTTCATAATTGCACCACCTTAAGTCATTTCTAAGAAAGAAAAGTAAGTATTCGAAAAGGCTTCCATACGGAAGTTTTCTCGCCATTTTAACGAATACAGTGTTGTATAAAAACATTCATCTATTGATTAAATAACGAATTCCCATTTCAATCAACTATATCCCGATTTTGCAATGAAGATAAATTTTACTTATATATAAAATACAAATGTTCTTCTTCCCCGAATATATTATACAAAAGATCGTATAAACAATCGACGATATTTACAATTTGATCATTTGACAAAATATACAAACTCTTCAAGGAACGAAATTTTTCTCTGTTCGTTGTAAAAATTATCACAAGTTTTAAGTCGGCAGCTGGTTATTTACGCAATTATTTCCCTGAAAATGTAAATTTACAATATTTAACATCTTAAGACACTTATTCATATATTTGTTACGGTTAATATGCTTACTTAGCTACTTTGTAAACTAGGTGGATATTGGATAGTTTTCAAACTAATCCAAATGATTATGCTTAGGATTATAATCTTATGGTAGGAGCAAACACTTACAAAGTGAACACTGTCGTTGCCATGCATATCTTTTTGGTGAGTGTTGTCTTCTCTTACCGTAATTTTATATTCCTAAGCATATTTGTCGAACCAATCATTTGGACAGTTTGCATACCATCCATTAGTTAACTAGGCAAGTAAGAAGCATATTAACTATAACATATTCAAAGGAAACCTGTTATAATGATAACATTAGTTCGCTGTAATCGAGTCTCTACATTTTTAGCAACATGTACAACTTCATAAGTGCAAATTTCAAAACTAGTTTTATCATGAAATTTTTAATTTCAATTTTTAAGACATGAAATACAACATAAACGTTGAAATTTTACTAAAAAAGTATATATGCAATTCATTTTAAACGGGCTCTATACCAAGTATAATAAACGTATAGATGATGGGACCGTCAATTGGAAAGAATAAAATGGGTGGGATCATTGGGTCGTAGATGATCTTGTTGAATATGTTAATTGCGTATATATATATATATATATGAGGACCAACGTACGGTTTTGACCGCTCTACTTCCATTAAATACTTTTTTAGTGTTTTACAAAGTTATTCCAATTCCGTTCACTCATTTTTGAATGAGCAGAAGCGCGAATATAATGATGAAAATTCAAAAATCACTTTCAAACAATAATTTACTTTGTTAGAGTACGTTAGGACAGCGTTGATTAGGGTTCTTAAATTTTCGATTTTCCACCTCCCCCATCTGCGCCTCCTCGCTTCCTACCCACCTAAAAACAATTGTTTATGGTTCTATATACCCTACTCCCTTCCGGTGAACGGTCTCATCATCTAGGCATGTAGACGTAATTCGGAATCTCATGAGCCTCATCCTTGGACTGAGTAATGACAAAACTAGGCCCGTTTATCGATTTATACTTCTTAAAAGCATTTTACAGTTTATCCCTGGCTGTCTAGCGACGCATATGGTTGGGTTAATAATTATAGTTTGAATGTAATAAGGTAGTACATTTCACGGCTCATGAGATTCTGAAATACCTATAAATCCTTTAACCGAAAATATATCTTTTTTGGAGGAAAAATGACAAATTAAAACGTTTCATTAAATTTTGTAAGGATCTTTACTATAGTATATTTAGCAGCTACAGCATTTACTTATCATTGTTTTTAGAAAGCAAAATACTCACCCTGTTAGCTCACGCCCTGCTATTAGCCCTGTTCTTGACCTCGATCTTACTAACTGTGCTCGCCTTTCAGCTGTGCAAAAAAGGATGCATTAATACACACATTTAATTGTAATTAACGGTACTGTACAAAATATTTACAACTATTTCTGTATTCATTTTAAATGTAGTGCAATATTATTTACAGTTGTCGATATTATACGTAAAACATTTGAAATGAATAGCACATACATTAATACACGACATTTTAACTTTTACTTAACTAATTAAAAAATATTTTAGCCAGTTTTACAAAATAAAAAATTGATTGCCACGTGCAGAAGGCCAATAAAATTGGATGTGCTTTACAAATAAATTTGGTGTGGTTGTAGTTTAAAAAAAAGATATAGCTTTTGTAGGCATACACGTATAAAGAATGGTGCTTTATAAATACTTTGAAAATTGGTGGATATAACGGAAGATAAGAAAAAAATTAAATATTACGCAGTGCAAAAAGCCATTTTGTAAAACTTCTGTATCACGGCTTTTTGGAAAACAACTATTCTTTCTTGGAAATGACTTGAAATGGTCCAAATATTTAAAACATATATGAGGGAGGGGGAGAACTTTTACAAGCCATAACCTAATCTACCCTGTTTAATTAAGGTTATGTAAGTTTTTGTTGTCAGGTTAGATGGAGGTAGAACTTCTTCCTTCTGATGGGGGTTTCCCTATCTCATATTATAGGTGAAACTCCAAATGCAGTATTTGTTGCAGTACTTTTTCGACAAGTTCTGACCATTTATATACAAATAAAAATTGTGTAAAATATCTTGCCCTTGACTTTTTCATGTAAGTTTTTCATAATTGCACCACCTTAAGTCATTTCTAAGAAAGAAAAGTAAGTATTCGAAAAGGCTTCCATACGGAAGTTTTCTCGCCATTTTAACGAATACAGTGTTGTATAAAAACATTCATCTATTGATTAAATAACGAATTCCCATTTCAATCAACTATATCCCGATTTTGCAATTTAGTTATAATAGTGCTATCAAGATTTATGATTATATTTTTGGCTTAATTGATTACAGAAGTATTTTTGCTAATGAATTCTTGAAAAAATCGGCAATCGGAAAGGCATCAATTATGAAACTAGAACTGATAACATTTTAAAAACAAGGCATAGTTGGGAAGAAATACAAAAATTTAACAAATTTGTGTATAGTTTGAATGCTTTTAGATCTATAATCCGTACACGCTTATTTATTATCTTCCAACTTCTTTCTCAATGTGTCAATCCTCCATCTAGATATTCCGAGACAAAAATACGATACTTAAGGCTTTCAAAAATTGGCACTAATGATAATTTCTAGTTATGGCAGCATATCGCCATCTAATGTTACCTACTGCTAACTGTAGTACCTTCTTAATGTCAGACAAGGGTTTTACTATTGTATCTACTTGACTAATTGAACCGCTTATATATGTGAAAGGCTTCTAAACCAAATTAATTAGAATTGCTATTGCTCAGTCAGTAATTCATCGAAACTACCTAGTATAGTATACCAGTATAACAGTATACCTCATCAGCACGTAAGACTATCTATCGCATGCTAATGAGACTATATTCATTCACCCCAAGTGCTTTGATATAAAACATTCTAGTTATTAAGTTTAATGTTGCTTCAATTAACTATTTTATATGCTCAAACACAAAAACAACATAAATGGCACTTTTTAAAATTATTAGCTAAGGCTTATTTATTTTTAATTTTCATGTTAAAATATTGTTGAGTTATGCAAAGCTTGTCTTTTAAAATATTTTAATTCTCTCTGATATTTTTATCTGTAGGGAGTTTACAAAAATATATATGGTGATAGCTGGTCAAATACAAGGCTCCCTAAATTTCAAGTCTTGACAAATATCTGTTAATGAATAATGGAAAAAATATATATAATATAGAATTTTTCTTATTGCAAAAATTATTAAAACTAATACACGCTTTATTACTAAAAATATAGTGAAGTCTATCGATAATTAAAAACTGTTAACTTAAAATTTAATATAAAAACATCGCAGAAATCTGGATGATTCTGAAAGAGACTACCGAGATCCCTAGATGGAATGAATTGAACTATAAATGATCGGAAGATGGTTAAAATAAAGTCTAAAGTTCAACGAGACTTTTTTACCACTTGGTGACATGAGATAGATCATCATTGTAAGGAACATAAAGCAATCTTCGCTTAGTTGTGATGAGAATGGTATGTAAAAGGTAGACTTGCGTCGTTAGGGAACATGGAGATCGTCTTTCTTGTTGTTGATCATTATCGAACTCCCTAAGCAGGTGGAACTGGTATGCGATCCACAGTTCGATCAGATTCAAGGTACCATACCACTGAGGAGATATAAGCACACAGACTAACTATTAGAGCACCTTGAATACACCGTCAGAACAATACTTTAGGCTTTGGACACTATGTGGCTACTTCCTCTTTACAGGTTAATCTCAGTAGTCTCCATTCATGGCTGGCGTTTGATAAAAAAAAAATAGCTTTCGAGCAAGAACTTAAAAAAACTAATTTTAAAAATAGTCTACAATGGGGTTGTATTTACTTAATTTATACTTTTTTCTATAATTTAAACCACAGACCATTATAAAATTTTTCCTAAACAACAAAATACCATAACGTCAATGGTATGCGCTTCGGAAAAGAAAAGGTTAGAAGCGTTGAAAATGTGGTGTTACAGGCAAATGATGAGGATACAGTGGATAGAAAAAGTTAGAAGAGAGGAAGTATTAGAAAGAGTAGGAAAACGCAAAACAGCGCTTGGAAGTCAATAAGAAATAAATGAGATAGGTTGGTAGAACACCTTCTCAAGGGCTAGTCAGAGACACTAGAAGTAGAAACAGAAGCTAAGAGAAGTGGAGGTAGACCTAGATTAGATTACTGTTCACAAATAGTTAAGGATGTAGGAAGTCTAGTTTTAGGGAGATGCGAAGATTATTTCAGGATAAGAAACAGTGGAGGTGCGTGTCCAACTAGTCTTAGGACTGACTATCTTATGATAATAATGATGAATAAAATATCGTTCAATTGAGTAATCGATGTCTCACTTAAAAAGTAATATTTCTGCATATTTCAATTATGAATTTAAGTCCTACCAGCTATCACTCTGTATTATATACAAAATCAAAAGAGACATGCATTCTATATATTCATAATAATGTATTAATCCTGTGTCAACATTAAACGAAAACCAATCATGTTAATTTTATATCACAGACTGTTAATAGACCACCGAAACACACACAGGACTTACTTTAACGTCATATCGTGTTCATAGCATTCTTACCAGCTAATGACTCCCAGAAGCATTCTTGAATGCAAAACAATACAATACAATTATTCATAATGCTTATCAAATTTCCATTACAATAAATAAATTCAAATCGACACAACAATCGAAAACTATCGAATCAATTCTTGTTATTGTAGAAATGATGTTAAAAAGCATGCATACTTACCACCTGCAGGCCGAGGACCTCGTTTTCGTTTCTGTTCTCTGCTAAAAGCGCTACCCGTTTGTAGAGCTTCCAGTAAACTGTAAAAAGCAAAAAAAAATGTAAATTGATGAATTATAAAAATGAATATTTAGAAAAGATACATAATGTTTATGTCATACCTATCCATTACGCCCTCTTGTGTTTCTGACGGGTTCATGTCGATGAGCGCCTTCTTTCTAGCCGCACGTTCTTGTTTCTCTTTTTCTGCCTTTTCTCTCGCCAATTTAGCTTTTCTGTTCTTCTCTAATATTTCCCGTTCACGCTCATTATCCTTTTTCGCTTCCTATAAGCAAATAATGCTCAATTACTGGGAAAGTATGAATTAGAGATTCTATTAAACGATATTTAATTTATATTCGTAAAAGAAGGCATTGCCACAAAAATATTTCAATTAAATATCGAATAATATCGTTTTACCATATACTGCCATAACTTGACATGAAAGTACTACTGTGAAAGCTTACTTCTTATACGGGAAAAAAATAAAACTTTTAATTTCAAATTGTAGTCTGAAAACCATATCTAATCAACTAAAACTTTGAATACTTACTATGAAACTATCTTTAAATGTTTTCAAATCCGTAAAGAATTCTTCCAAAACGTACTTTTGTTTATCAAAAGCGTAATATTCTGCCAACTCGTTATACAGCTCATCCATCTTCTTGAACATTTTTTGCATAACCAGGCACTGCTCTCGGGCTTCTTTTGCAAACGACTTCATTTTATTAAGAAAAATTCGTGCATTTCATTTCATTAATAATAATAAACTAAATAATAGAATTACCTATTTGAAAAACAAAATACCGCCAAAAATTTTTGCTGAAGAATAAAGGAAAATTAATGTCGAGTTATAAAATATCAATAACAAAAAATGAATTTTAAAAACAGAAATTAATTACAATCTCACGATAAAAGAAAATAATAGTTTAGATAACACGTTTATGATTTTCGAATTCATTAATAAAATAATAGGTATATTTCTGTAAAAAGCATATCTGAAAACTTGCATTGTTTGAATCTAAATTGTAAATATAGCAATTAAAGTACAAGTTATTACTATACGCGGTAAACTACAAAGCATTGTGAAGCAGCGGCTAAACATTTTTTTTAATTTAAACATGAGTTTCGTTTTATAAAATTAGTTGATATCCATCGATAAGAATATATGAATCACTTATCATAAGAGCCCCCACTTAACAATAACAAATTTAAAATTCCCATTTCGTACATACAGGATCGCAGTGTTATAAGTAATCAGTATGTGTTAATACATCAAACACTCGATAGTGTGAGTCGAAAAACAACGATTGTTTGCGTTATCAAATTGTTCGCGTTCATGAATGTTATATATATGTAATAAACAATTGTAATAAATAAAGTACACGTACATACAAATACAGAACACTAATAGCTGTTCATTAAAAGACCGAAAAACAATAATAAAATATCATTTTCTCCAAAGTAATTAGAAATTTTTGTTTGCTCTGAGAAGTTCTTATTTTTTGCAAAATGACTTTTTCTCATCACCTTTTAGTCCTACTTTTTTTTTCGTCCCTAAGAAACTACCAAATTTATCGAGTATTTACAGCAATAGCTCAATAGCAATGGTAAATTATCGATTTTTAAGGTCAATCAATGCCCTTTCTATATTAGAAAATAAAAAGGATACGCCCATTATTTCGGAAAACTTATCCTGGTCATCCTGCGGTAACTTGTTATTTTGCAAATCAGTTTCCAAATTTTTGATGCTGGAATCCATCTGCTTTAGAGTTTTTTGTATTGCATCCAAGGAAACACGACTGGCTCTAAATAAAATATACATACCAATCTATTGAAAGTTGGCGCGTTACAGTTATATTATAAATTACCGATTAACGTTAAAAGATAATTTAAAAAAATGAATAGTTATGTGAAACAAAAGTATTAAAAATTGATGAACTTACTTATCTATATGAGGCATTTCATCATAGAACTCTAATAGTTCAGGGAATTTCTTTTCCACAGTCTCAACGATGTAATGAAGCAAAGTTTGTTTATTTTCAAGATCTTTTGTACTTGTAAGCTACAAATAAAAATTGTTAGAAAACATGACAAAATTGGCAGAAACATACCACTCTACTTTTGTTAAAAAGCTGATTTCAAATCCAAACGCTGGTCCATTTTTGCTCGCCGAATTCATGTAATTGCCTAACAGCAAAATCAATTCAAGGATTTTAGCAAACTTCTTGCTTTTCTTTACTTCTTCGCATGCTGCAGTTCCAGCAACGATATCCTATTTTAAAACATTTTTTTTAAAGTACTTTATATAAAACTTCTTGGAAATATTTTTAGTTTTTCTTTTGATCATTCAAAAAATCTTTTTCTTCGATCAGATTTAAAGAATGTATTTCTATTGAGCAAATAAATGTTTTTTAAATATTTCTATTTACTTTTTTAAGTTTGTGATTAAAATTTCTTGTTTCAGATATGTAAAATAAAATACCGAATATTTCACAAACTCACATATTACATATTTCTTACCGGTTTACAATCGTTGACCATTTCCGTAAAATGTTCCTTAAAACTGAGTGATTTCAGTCGTGGTAACAGTCTTTTAATTTCGGAAATCTTTATACAAAATTGTTCAGCTTCCGTAAGATCTTTGTACGAATCTTTAAATTGTGCTAATTTATTCAATTGGTCGGCTGGAGGTAAATACTATAATTTAAATAAAAAAATAAAACTTTCGAAACAATCAATATAACATCAATCTTTATACCTGAATTAGTTGTTCTAGAACATTTCCAATTAAAATTGAACCGTCACAACGCAATAAGCACTTCTTAATATCATCAAATGACATGTGCTTCAGAGACCCATTCAACAAAATTAATATATTTTGAGCTGTTTTACCATCCAAAACTTTCAGTTCTTTGACTTTCTTTAAGGTACCATAAGTATTACTGCTTTAATAAAAAAAAAACATTTATAAGATGTTAAGTAAAATTATCACATATCTGATTTTATCATTAAAGAAAAAATATAATCTGATATGTTCATTGTTTCTTAATTTTAATTCAATATTTTCTCTTCTACATTCAATTCCTTTTTTTCTTCTATAATATAAATTCGTGAAATTACCTCTCTCTAGTTTTCATTTTTTTTACCTGTCTAGCGCGTCACCTTCGACTTTTTTGGGTGGCGGCTTCGAACTGAATTTCTGAGCTAATCCCTCTAAAATATCTGGAGAAGCTAGTTTCTCTTCTTGTACTTTTACCCAAAACGATTTTTCGGACAGTTTTTGAGGAATAATCTAAAAGAAAAATACTTAATGCAAGGCTGCTATTGCCAAATTTGGGAAAATAGGATACGAAGGTAGAGAGACCATAATATTTATAAGGCAAATGTAATACAAGGTAAAAAATGACAGAGTAGAAGACTGTTAATCAACAGAACGAGAAAAGAGAGGCCTGTTCCAGTTTACGACATTGATCTGTATATAATTGCGTTGATTAGGCCTTCATAAGTGGTGAGCGGAACACATGCCCACTTAGTTAAATGCATTGTGGTATGTTGGGGTGTCTTAGTTACATTTTTTTCATTTTTCATTAAAACAGACACCATTAAACTCAATTAACACTTATTAGCTAACATGGAAGCAACTTCAGCATGTTTGTACATGATATTATATGAAAACATAATTGTCTAAAAATCAAATAGAAACCTTCCGTTTAGTTTAAACGAACAAAACGAAACTCAAAATGTCACATTTCAAAACAAACGACATGCCCGATACATTTTAAAAAATATAGATTATTTCTTAAAAATGACCAAAGATATCTCAAAATGTTCTCATAACTAAAACTTGCCCTGAAAAGCAGGCACGCTGACAACTGCAAGTCAAAAGTCTTTTTGTGATTGTTATAAAGTTGCAATATTTTTATTTTCCATTTAAGCAACTTACCGCTTTCCAATTTGCCCTTTTGAGAGGCCCACTGACCTCCCACTTCTTCTTGGGTTTCAACCCATGAGGCAATACGTTAGGATTGGCCATTCCTACTAAAGGGATCATTCCTGGCATAGGTGGAGGCGGGCCCATGCCAGGAGGTGGTGGTGGAGGCGCTCCACCCATACCCGGAAGAGGAGGCGGTGGAGGTCCCATTCCCGGCATTGGAGGTGGAGGAGGTCCAACCATTCCCGGCATTGGGGGAGGGGGAGGTCCTCCCACGTTGGGTAGAGGAGGAGGTGGAGGTCCTCCACTCATATTTGGCAATGGTGGCGGAGGTGGTGCTCCACCCATACCCGGCAATGGAGGTGGAGGAGGTGCTGAACCTATTGCTTTTGATGTGTTATTAACACAATCGGGATCCAGTTTGCCATTTGATGTAGCACGTCCTTCTAGTATATCAATTCTGGCCAGGGCTTCGGTTTTAGCAGCTAATGCTTCTTCCAATCTTTTTTGAAGGTCTCCGTAGTTATTTTTTTCTATTTCAGTTGTTCTTTCTATAAAATTACAGTCCAATAAAGAATAAAGATTTGTTAAATATGTTATTAATATATTTTTAGGAGTAGTAATCCTTTGTCTTCGTTTATTTTATAGATCTTGTGTTTTTAAGTAAACATAAATATTTTCTTAGTAACTAAATTTAAAGAATTACAGATGAGATGTTTCTACTTGTATCTGAACATTATCAAACTTTTTTTTCTATTAGGTACTGTATTTTATTAGGATATTACTATGTTTTTAGATTTAACTATCAGTCGTTTGAAATGTTAGTGAATTTTGTAATATTACATGATGACATATAAATGACTCATCCAATGTGATCATTTTTACTAAAAAACTATCACAACTCACTCAAATTAATTCTTAGAATATGCACGCCTAGCCATAATTTGCCATTTTTGAATTTTTAATGAATTATTTAAATTATTTGGTATTTGTTATTTAAAAGAATATGAGATTCGTACAGGCGGCGATTATAATAGTTAAATATTTCCTATTCTTATTAAAAACCACTAACTTCATTCATAGCCAATGAATAGGCGTAGTGGATTGGAAAATAGTAAACTTAGTATGAATCATGTTACATATTATAAATCACCAGATGTTAATTTTCACTTTTTGTATATGTTTGCATCTCACTTTATAAAAATGTTAGCCTAACGTTGTATGTGTACCCCTGATAATGACGCCATGTGCAAACGCATCCGCATTATGCATAGTTGCATGCTTACCCGTTAATCCTTCAAGCAGAGGTTGTATATCAAAAGCAATAGGCCTTTTTGTGAAATCAGGATCAATACCCGACTTATGAAGAACAATTTGTGTTACTAACTCTTCAATAAGTTTATAATACGCTGTCCTAGAATGTAAAAGTTCATAAATATTTACAGAGTTTTTACAGCATGTAAAATTAAAAAAATACCTAACATAATAGTCGTCCCTAATAAACATTAAATGTTGTAAAATACTAAGAAAATATGGTTCAGCAGGCGTATCTAAAATCATGTTCCTTAGCACCACAAAACAGTCATTGATATCATCCATATCAATTTTGACATTATCAAATCTTGATTGCAGTTCATCTGCATCTTCTTCTTTATGATTCTCGAAACACTCTAATTGTTTAAGGATGTCTTCGCTGGCTTCTCTCTTCAGGGTTTCTAACAAATCAAATGATTTTATAATTTAATACGAAACAACTGCATTTTAACATTTACCCACCTAATTTTTCGTACAATCCACATCTAACTATTTCGTTCCTTAAATGTACACGATATTCAAAAACTTCAGTCTGTGATAACAGTGCATTGATAAATTGAAGACACACGCACTACAATAACATTTTATAATATTTTACTGTTGAAGTTATTCTTATGGTATTATTACCCATAAATCTTCGTTTTTTGAATTCGTTATGCCATCAACAAGTGGCTTAAACCTTTCGATATTTCGTTCTTCAGCAACCTTTGTGATGGCCGATAGAACTTTGTCGGTCCCAACAATTTTTAAATCGTCATTCGATAAAAAGCATAGGGCAGCTAATAACTGAAATTACATTAAGTACTTAATACATAATACCATTTCATTTATGAATAATATCGTTACCTGTAGCGCGTGGATTGTAACTGTTGGTTTTTTAAAATCTATACAAGATGCTATAATTTCGTGGCCACTGTCATGTTTTAAAAATTCGCGAATACCTTCTGTATTATTTATAAACTTGTATATACATTTTAAACATTCTGCTTGTATCTTTTCGAATCTCTCATCTTTGTTACTAAAATTATAGTAACAATTTAGATAAGTTCCAAAAAGTTTGTTAGGATTTGTAGAATTTAAAGAAGTATTACTATTACAGAGGAGTTAAAGAAAGTCTTATATAAAATAGAAGCGGTATTAAAGAATGAAAATAAATTTAAAAAATATATAGATAAATACAGCAAACAAACAATAACACTAACAATTGCGTTTTCTATAACCTTAATCTTTAATTTTCTTACCATTTTGTGGCTAAATTCAAAATGTTAAAGACTGTAAGTAGACCTTTTGTTCCAAACTCATGTACCCAACTTAATGTATTATTGGTCAGTGCTATCCTCAATGATTCCACACAGCTGAGGATTTTTCCCGGATTTAACGTATCAGTTCGGGAATAATTTTCTATATAATTAATATATTGTTGCGGTGTATCGAATTTGCTCTCTTTAACTTGATTTGCACCTTTACATCGCATTAGTAACATTTTTTTCTTGTATTCCATCGTTGAATCTCTTAACGGTTTCTTTTTCTCTTCGTTTAAATTCATGTCATTCTATAACAATGAGTATCTCACTGTCAGTACCGCAATATTTGCTAATTTTATTAAAATATATTTTTTTAAATCCAATATTGTGTTCATTAACATCAATGCTAAGTGAATGCGTTGCCATAATTAAAAGCAATTTATTAAAATCGAAACAGAATAAAGCTCGACGTACTTTAATAATTCGATTTTCATTGATAATAACTGTTAAAGTTTCTAAAGTCTTTAAGAACCATCTAGTGATAAGTAGTTTTATGTTAATAAAATTAAAATAAATACAACTATCTTTTCCACGCATAGGACTTTAAATAAGTTAGCACATATCATTATCCCATACCTATATCTGATCAGTATTCCAGAATATTTGAATGGTAATATCTAGAGGCATTGTAGAGTGCATCTCATGATAGCGTAAGAACGTAGACATTGTAAAAAGTACCTCAGTTAACGATCCGTCAATGATAGAGAACAGATGCCACTTTGGCAGCTGTGTTTTCTTATCGCCTTTCGTTACCGCAAACAATAACTGACGAAATTCATATATCTATTCGTGACCTTCGCAACAGCTGATACGTAGACAGGACAATTGCACGTAATGATAAGTAAAAATTACTGCTATTACCACAAAATACAAAAATATAGTGGTCACATGTGAATGGTGCAAAGGGAATGCACTGGTGGCATCACGCATCATTACCGGAACAGCTGGGACTTTAAGTAAGGTCATGACCTTCATGTCTATATATGCATATCACTGAGTGGTGCGAAGTGGCTCATTCTATTTCTTTTTCATGTACGTTCTTCTCCCTTAATTTTCCGGAATACTGATCAGACATAGTGTGTCTATTAATGAAATATATATAAAAACACTGACCAGCATTTCTTCAAACTTTGCATTCGTCTGTTTATCATCCATTTCGTTTATTTGTTGTTCTAATGCTTGTTCGTCTGGGTCTCCAAGGTCTGTTTCGGAATTTGGCCTTGAACTGGCTAAGGATCCCGGTTTGTTGACGAGGGTACTTTTTTTCGAACCCCCTTTGAACCATGATTCCAACTGCAACAAATTGAACCATATTTTAAAGGGTTACTAAACTCAAAGGAACTACAGTTAAGTGAATAAATAAAACTATACAGGAAATGCCTTTTAAATACACATGAGGTTAAAAATCAGAATAAAACAGAAAAAATATTAATTGAGAATAGATTAATTAATAATATTCATTTTCTCCCCAATCAATATTATTGAATTAAAATTATGATCTGGAAATATTTGTATAAATGGTATTTATTAATTGTAAAGTTCCAACATTTCGCTCAATGGCTTTGAGTTTCCTCAGGGAATTTTACGAGTCAGGTTAATTATAAGTTCAATCTTCTTCCAAGTAATATGCATTCAACATTTCTTCTTTTTAATTTTTCTTGGTCCTTTTTAAAAACAATAATATTAAAACCTAACACTTTAAAATTAATTAATTAAAACAGTCGATTATCTAGAAGTAACCACATTTTGATTAATTCAAAACCGTTTAAGTTTACAATTAATATCAAATCATTTACCCGAATAGTTCGAGATTAAAATTTTAATTCAATATTGTAATTAATGTACTTAAAACCACAAAGAAAATTTTATTAAACATTTTAGAAACACTCTGGCAATGGCAATCAACAAGGGAAAAAAGAAATTTGTATCAAATTTGATATATATTTTTTATTTTGCAATCGCTGCTGCAGAAATATAGGAAAAATTATACAAACATAATTTTAGGGTACTAATTTAAGGAAAATACGGAACGTACCCTTAAAAAATATTTAATTTTATCTTAAAGGGAATAAAGACTGGATGAACATAAAAAAAGCATTTTTTCAAATTCAAAAAAGGGCTCCTGAAATTCGATCTTTTCGAAAAGTTGGTAAAATATTTTTCAAAATCAAAATCACACATGTCAGCTTTATTTCTGTCCTTTCATAGACATTTTAGTGAAGAAACAAGTTTTAAAATTGTATACTTAGTTTTGATTGTCTACTTTGGATATCCTTTAGGGCACAAAAACCATAATCTACAATTTCAAATTTTACTTTCTTAGTCATTTTATGTTAAAGGCCTTTCATTTTGTGGTCTCAATTATAAAAAAACTGTTAACTGGTATTAAGATAATGTAAGGCGATTTTAAATAAATGACAAAAATAGAGAACTGTTAGCAAACATAAGATTTTATGAATCGTCAAAAATTTACGTTGTCGGCAAGTATTTATTTTTCAACAAAGTTATAACCCAAAACACACAAACTACAAAAATTGCTTCCAAGATCTAAAATATATTATAACAATTATGTATGAAGACTTGATTTAATAATAATATTTTATTGTAATACTGAAACGGCAATTGAAGTACTTGTTAACTAAATATTTAACGTATTCTATGAGAATCGTGTGACCCTTTTTTATAACAATCCGGGACTAAACTGAAAAAATTATCAACAGGCAAATCATTTTTTTTATATGCAGCTTTAAATTTTAATAAAAAAACTTGAAATTTGTAGAATTTGAGAAAGGCAAAGCGATAAAAACTTACAGTGGCCATATTTTCCTTCAAGGGCATACACATTGTCTGTGCAACATCTGCTCATTTACTAAGCTGTACTAAATTAAATTTAGAGTAAAAGTGGGTCCAATAAAAAGTACTAAAAATATTGCATTTTGACGCGAATTGAGTCAAAATCATAAAAATAGTTATTACATGGAGTAGGCGACCTTTAACAAGAACTGCTTACCTTTTAAAAAAAATTAGGTGCAAACGTAACTGCAATATAAATACGTATAGCTCACTCAACAAACAAATTACTTTACAATTCAATTACTATATTGAGAGCAACTCGTTATATACCGTATGCGAAAGTGCGAATCTTAGTTTCGAAATATAATATGCCGCTACCATCAATAGCAGTACGGACACCTAAAGGTGGCTTCCCACGGCCCGTATTAACACAGACCTGACTTCGCATCGCGGACAGGAATGGGTAAGCGCGGATCGCGAGTAAGCTCTTTCCACGATCTATATGAGCCTGTCTTCATGAGTTTGAAGCTAGGTTCAGTATAGAAAATAAAATAGAATAGCAGTTGCTGTTGCAGCTTATGTTTTGTTGGTTCATATTTACTCAGCAAGAGAAAGATAAACAAAAGACAGTGGTGAATGTCATGATTAAGTAAAATCCTATTAAGGTAAAGTTTTATTTACTAAATCTTGAGTAAAGTACAAGCAATACATATTTCCGTGCACGCCTTCATGTGTTACCGTCGATATTTATTCCTTTTAACGATTTCACGAAAGTTTAAGAAAAATAAATATTTTTCTTGAGTACGGAAATAACATACTGTTGACGCATGTGTTTTTTTGAATTACAGATAACAATAAATGCTAACCGATTGCGACAGTTCGAACCATGCCGCGCCTTTCAAACTACCGACTCGCGACGGATCGGATGCACCAATACGGGTTTTCCCGGGCCACTTCAGGCAGCACCTTTCCCACGTGTTGGCGCGTTACCGACGCGGCCCGACCTGCAAAATAATGGGCCGTGAGAAGCCACCTTAATCTTCTTTTATTTCGACTTCTTTGATGCAAAAGGAACGGAATACATTATCATATTATACATCATAATAGTTATACATATATGACAGTTCTTTATACAAAATGAATTCGGGAGATAACGTAACTATTCGATTAGTTTCGATAATGTTCAACAGTCACACCGCGCGGTATGTTTCCTATGTCAAAAACATCATCACTAAATGTTGGAAGTTGTGTTCTCCAATGATCTGTTCTTTGCGATTCTCCAAATCACGCTTTCGCATACAGTATATATTGTACAATTAGTGAACTAGTAATTTTACTGTGTTTTCATTTAAGTTAGGTACTCATAAAAGGTACAATACCTACATGTGCTGACTGAGCAGACTATCCATTCACCGTAATACCAACATTTAACGTAAAACATTAATCAATTGATGAAAAAGTAAGTTTTAAGAACTTTATTTAAAAATTATGTATTCTACCACTTGTACCTATTGCTTAAAATAAACATGAAAGTTGGACAATAGGTCGCTTTTGCAAATAGGATTTTTATAAATTCAGCACCTAGGGGGCAAAAAGCATTTTTACAAATCCTTTGAAAACTCTCAACCGGCCACTAATAACATCTTTTAAAACATACGAAGGGGGCGGTGGAAAATAAAAGGTTAGAAGCGTTTGAATGATGGGGATACAGTGGATAGAGAAGCTTAGAAATGAAGAGGCATAAGAAAGAATAGGAAAACGGAGGACTCTATGGAAGTTAATAAAAAATAGGCGAGATAGGCTGAGAGGACACCTCCTCAAGCATGAAGGTCTAGTCAGAGACATATTAGAAGCATAAACAGGAGTTAAGAGGAGTAGAGGTTAGAGCTAGATTAGATTACTGCTCGCAAATAGTTAAGGACGTGGGATGCTCCAGTTTTAGAAAAATGCGAAGATTTGCTAAGGATAGGAAAGAGTGGAGGTGCGTGTCCAGCCAATCTTAGGACTGACGACCTTATGATGATGATGATTTGTTAACAGTTTCTTGGACCTATTTCTAGTAATTTTTGAGAAAAATTACGATTTTAGCTGATTTAGCACGAATTACCGTATCTTTTTTGTTATATGTTATTCAGAGCCGGGAATATCGAAACCTACTTTTGACAAAATTGAAAGATGAATA